TAGAGCCGCCGGGCTGGTGCGGACCTGCCGGTGTCCGGGGGGTGGGTCTCCGCGGCCGCTGCCGGGCCGGGCGGCTCCCAGGGAGCCCGGGCAAGAAAAAGCGGATTAAGTACATAGTGAAGGGAGGCTTGGGGGGACGGGAGAGAAGATATAAGGAACCTCGGGGGGAAGGGAAGTCGTCAGGAATAAGAAAAATTTAGAGCAGAGATAAGAGTAAGCGGGATCTAAGGTGGCGGGGGGCGCGTTACTGAGGTGGAGGTTAAAAGGTGAGGCCACAGTGAGATGTGGCACTGAAGGGTTAGCTTGCTATGTTCTAGGGGATTGGCAGGGCAGGTCGTCTTTCCCTGTGAAATTCACAGGCACTGTCCTTGAATTGTGTCAGTGGGCACTGGGCATCAGAGACTTGTGTTCGGATTCTGCCACAGGTGTAGTCGATGGATGTGCTGGATATTGAAGAAAGAGGAGTTGGGGGGCAGGGGGGGCTTTGCCTCTGGCATAAGCTTCTGGTGAGAAGTTGACCAGAGATTGGTTTTGCTGAACATGTTGCAGTGCATCTTTTCTCCCACTTATTTAGGCTTCTGAGTGTTACTGTCTGAGACCTGTAATAGCCAAACTGCATAGGTGATATAGGTCACTGTAGACCAGTTCGTCAAATGGAGTTTACTGAACTGTGATCCTCTCATTTCTGTAGTAAATCCACACTTGTTCTCATGCTCAGTGATGTTACATGAGGCTCGTGCTGGTTTTCTGTCAGAGCAAAGTGTGGTGCTGCTCTTCCTAGAACCGTTTCAGGAATCCACATCTATAATAGTCAGCAATGGCAATGACAGCTCTTTCCACAGTACACATCCATCACAAAGCTGCCCATATCTCACAGTTTTTAACTGATTTTTAGAACTGGTTAGAGGCATATTAGTTACAAATAACAGTGTTCACTTGTGTTCCTACAGTATCTTTTCTGCTAATGTTGCTGATATTTCAGCATCTGTACCTTCCATGCCACCTAACCATGACTGTCAGTGCATTCTGGGAAGATCTGTGCAGTTATCTCAATGCCTGGCAGAAATGCACAGATAATGGCAATATCAGCACATGGTAGAGTGCATTCTGGGTATTCTCTTGTACAGAGGGGAAGGAAAGCTGTGCAGGTAGTTATATGAATGTAGTTGGAGTGTTCTGTCCTGGCTGCAAATACAATAGCTACTAATAGGAAGAACCATGTTCTAGTTTCTTTCTGTGGCAGAAAGAACTATAGGTAGCTGTCACATTTCTGTCCGTGCAAAACTTATTGCATCCTTTTTTATGTCCCTTTCCTTAGTTTCTTGCAGTCTCTTTCATTTCTTTTTTTGTGTGTGCGCTGCCAGTATTTTGCTCTTTCACTCAGGGTTACAGGATCAGGGAATATGGCTTCATGCTTTCACTCTATGTATCCTCCAGTCTGCATCCCTAAACAGATTCCTTATATCATTCTCTGCTAAAGTGTTCTCAGTGTGAGCTTCATTAATTTGGCTCACTACTCTTAAAAGGTTGCTTTCCTGCCCCCTAATCTTTTAGAACATTTGGTTATGGTATTGTGAATAAAGGAGAGCTGCTGGAATTTATAAAGTCTCTCACAAGGAGATCTTAAAGAAGTTGAGTAATCATGAGGTAAAAGATAAAACAAGGTGGTGGTGGGTTAGAAACTGGCTATGGAAAATAAAATAAATACTGTAACAGGAAAAAAGTTAGTTTTCACCATGGCAAAAGTTTAATAGAACAGTGCTTTAAGGAAATAATTCTTTATACTGCATAACCTTTTCTGTGGAGATCCTAGCACAGTATCTTATGGGGGTCAGGAGTTTAGCAGGATGCCAAAAAGGCTTTGATTTATAGGTTTGGATTGTGAGACCATCCACAGTTTCACCCTTGCTTGTTTCTAGTCCCATCCTAGCTCTCTTCCCTTTGTTCCTCTGCCACCTGCCCCTCCCATTCTCCTGTTCCTGACTCATTTTTCCTCAGTTTCTGAGACTGCTTGTGTCACAGGAGGTAATATGGAATCTATTCCAGACCATGCACTTCTTTCAAGGTTTCCAAGACTTCACACTAGGCTAGAATCCCAGGTACTCAAAAGAAAGAGCGTCCAAGTTTTAAAATCAGAAACAGTCATTCAGAGAGGTGTCATCTAACATGATATCTAGTCTTTTAATTTATAATATACGAGTCACTGCTGAAGCAGACTGGACTGGGAAGGACCATCATGTGCATGATTGCCTCCTGGCTTTTCATGAATTACCGGTGAGAAGTGAGAGCTGGTGATGGTCAAAGGAGTGCATGTACTTTGTCTGATCAGTTTGCTTCCTTCCTAATTTATCCTTTTCTCCCTCTTTCAAGAACCCTCAGCAAAAAAGGCAAGTGTAATGAGCTATCCTTCATTCTTTTTCACATTAGAACAGTAAAACCAGTCCCAGGAAGGGGATAAGGACTGTACTTGAATTTATTCCTAGTTGAGAAGAAATGAGGAGGCGGTTGACAAGTGCTCAGTTTAAAGATCTCCTAACATTTTGGGGGAGATGCAAAGATTTAAAATAGAAATGTCACAGTCCACCCTGTCTACAAAGGACAATTTCTGACATCAGTAGACTAGTAAAATGCACACCTCTGTCCTACTTGGCAAACTCAGGCACAAACAGCCCCATTTGCCTTTCAGCCTCTTCAGTGCCGGTATTGCTCCTTGTCTTTTGATTTGCCACTCCTTCAGGCTATTTAAAAAGTAATTTATTGTCTTGGCAACCACCTTCTGGCAGGAAGGGGTTCATCTCTCTCCAGTGTTCAGTGACTGTTGGTAGGGGTTCCATCAAAAAACAAATCCTCAGGAATTCTCTGAAATAGGAATAATGAACTGATAATTCTTTATAACAGGGTTGCCAGACTCACTTGGGGCCCTGATCTGGATCCGAGTGCAGGGCTCCTTATGGGGCATAGCCAGTACGGGTGGCCGCAGTGGTGGAAGCAATGAGGAGTTCACTGCCGATGGCCAGAGCTAGCGGGGCCCTGAATTCTGCAATGGGCCATGTCTTCTGGTTGCCCACCACTAGCCCAGCAGGCTGGATAGAGCAGCTCTGTGGGCCAAATCTATACAGTCCTGCTGTATAGACAGTTCACCTGCAGGTAGATATAGACTTACAGTTTCAGTCTCAAGATTTCACAAGTGCTAAAGTGAATTCTTTAGTTGTAAAAAAGTCAGTCAGGATATTCCACTTTGTCTTGTTACTGGTGATGTGTGTACACAAGGGGTGTCAAACTCATCTAGCTTCATGGGTCAGGTGAAGGGCATGGGGCTGGCCTGTGAGCTGGATCAGACCCACAGACCAGCCGTATGCACTGGAATCAGTGTGGCGGGCCAGTGTGGCATAGGCAGTTCATGCAGCGTATGCCTTGGCACTGGTTTCAGGGCTTGCATGCAGAGCCAGCATGGGGTGCAGGCTGCATGGGTGCCTCGCCAGAATGCTGTGGCATGCTAGCTCTGATGCGTGGGTCTAGACTTGTAGCCCTGATGCAGACCAGCCCTGGAGGTAGCACGCAGGGCCAGTCTGACAGGGTGCCACATGCACATGCCAGGTCCAGCCCTGTATGCTACATGCAGCATGGGCCGGTCCTGGTCTAGAGCTGCCTGTGGCATATGGGACCAGCCTGGAGCTCACACTGCATGTGGTGCTCCCACTGGACCATCTCTACACACTGACCCTGTCATGCAGGGACGGTCTGTGGGCCTGATCTGGCTCTAGAACCATTGCACGGGGCCAGTCCAGCAAGTCACGTAGCACATGCCAGACAAGCTCCATGTGCTGCATGCAGGGCTGGGGTCAGGGCCAGCACATGCCACATGGGGTCAGTTCAAGATCCATGGGCTGGATCCGGTCCCCAGGCAACATCTTTGATACCCTTGGTGTACACACTGTAGTGGATAATTGTGCATGCATGATCTCTTCAGTTTTTCTTCATGTCCTTCCTTCCATTCAGTGTAGGCCATCCTGTCAAGAGAATTCATCTTGCCTGTGTAAGATGATTCTGTAGTGATAGTTTTTTCTGCAGTGTCCTGCACAAAAACTGGACATGGGTGGTTTTTCTACTTGGTGCCAGGTTCAGAGGTTTGGCAGCTAACATGGTGATGAGGTCCATTCAGGGAATTTGGACACACCAGGAGAGGAAATAGTATAAACTGATTAACGCCAAAGTTCTGTGCCTCCTAGAAATCCACCTTCTAATGTGCTGGGCACAATAGAACCTCTAGTCCCGTGTTTCTTAACCAATGGGTCGCCACCCAGAAGTACTTCGCAAGAATGTATGAAAGGGTTGCAGACAAACTTTACAAATGGATTCTCCTTTAAAGAATAAAAACTTGGGGAAGTGACTTTTCCCTTGCAGGCTTGCAGAGTTCCAGCCTGCATGGGGGGGGGGCCATGCTC